AACTCTTCTTTTCTTATCCACGTTTCACATTTGAATTGCTTGTTTTTGCACTACGAGTTTTAGATTTCTGTATTAAGAATGTTAAATTTGATTGTTTTTTATTAATATATTTTGCTTGAAGTATTTCCATAAAGCAGAGATCTATAGTTAGTTTTTTCTATCTTTAGTGTCTGTTATGTTTCCTCTGGTGGATCACTTATTTTTTGAGATTTATTCATCCAGGGACAAGAGGGTGAGGCAGCAGCTGAGGAAACAAAGAAGAGCAACCATGTCAAGAGGAAGCTTGAGGAGCGTCAGAAGGGACGTGAGCTTGGCGCTCACATTGAAGAGCAATTTGGCAGTGGAAGGTTGCTGGCGTGCATTTCTTCCCGCCCTGGACAGTGTGGCCGAGCTGATGGGTAAGAAATAATGGACTTCCAGACTTTCTTTGTTTTGTTAGAGCAGCTTATCTGTTTGTGTACCATTTAACTTTTGTAGATTAAAGCTTAATGTTTGTTTATACTCTTTATGTTACAATCACTGAGTCTAGACATTTTAGATATGCTGGCAGCTGTCACAAATTTATCCTTCTAGGATTCAAGTAGAATGGAAGTTGTCCCCTTAATTGTCACTTATACTGCAGGCAGCTCCTTACAATACACTTTTCTTTTTTGTATAACAGGTACATCCTTGAGGGTAAAGAGCTTGAGTTCTACATGAAGAAGCTTCAGCGCAAGAAGGGCAAGGGCGCTGCAGCTTAGAGCATTCTCATGGATGGTCCTCCGCTGAAATGTGTGGCCTATTAAATATTACTCTGGCTTTTTTTTTGTTAGTCGTCTCAAGTTCAGAGCGTCTATGTCATGTTTTGCAGACCTGATGAGAACACTGTTTTTCTGAAAATGAATCAACTCTATCTAGCTTTATGAATTGAGATTTTCCGGATGTATTGTCGTGATGTTTATTTTGCCTGTTTACTAGCTGCAATGAGCAGGTTTGGTTTCTCGATGAGATTGCTGTGCAGATATGTTTGATTTTCTGTTTGCTAGAGCTTTGGAGCTGGCAGGGTCAACACGACTGCGGCAGGGGCTGGACAAAAGCTCGTTGAGCTGGTGTTTTGAATGAACTTGTTTTTATTCTTTTAAAACAAAAGTGACTTTGGCTCGTTTGGAGCTTGGTATGAAGTTGGGTCTCAATTCTCAGACAAGTGAGGAGACCATAATAAATAGGATTATGTCATTTTGAAGAAAGCTAAATAAGTATATTTGCCTCCTTATTCAGTCCTCTCTGCGACAGACTCAGATTAGACCTAATGAGATGTACTTCTGCAGCAATGACCCGCGTTCTTTTTCAATATGATTATGATTTCTTCGTAAATCAAACTGTTCTCTTCGACTCCTCCCTGACCCTGCATGTTCGGTCGTGGGCAATGTTTTCTATCCTGTTGAGGAGGTTTCTTTAAGGACAAAGGACAGACCCAATTCACAATCACAACTAAGGCCCCGTTTGGCAGAGCTTCTCTAGCGGTTTCAGGAGCCGCTTTCTGCCAAACGGGGTAAAATAAAATGGCTTCACCGATGAAGCCTCTAGAAACGTGCTCTCATAAAGCTTTGGGGTGGGAATGAGTCAAAAATAGTGGCTTCTCTCGGCTTCACCTCATTCTATATGGCGTTCTTTGAGAGCATATTTTAAGAAAAACTATATGTGAAGCTGTTTTGCCAAACGATTTATCAAAACGGCTACATCTCCACCCATAGAGCTGTTCATGGAGCTGAAGCCCCCTAAAAAAGCTTCATGGGTGAAGTGGAGCCGTGCCAAACAGGACCTAAGTGCCTTTCCTCCCCGACTTCGGCTCTTGACTCCTGCCAGACGTTTTTCCGGTGGAGTGAGCCGTTTTTGAGGAGTCACAAATTGAGACTCCTCCAAAATAGCTATGGCTTCTCTGGAGGAACTCCGACTCCAGCTTTGGCTCCTATGACCCCTACCAAACGTTTTCCCAGAGGAGCTATTTATCAGTAAAAAACTGAGAAGCTGGAGCCGTTTTGAAAGAGCCACAAATTGAGGCTCCTCCAAAACGACTATGACCTCTCTAGAGGAGCCCCTCAAACAAATTGAGTCTCATCCAAAACGGCTATGAGCCAAACACCCCTGACCCTCCGTCCTGCCTACCAAAATCCTCATCGCACAGCTCTCCCGATCTGGTAGATGCAAAAGCCCATCTACTCTTTCGGTTGCATGTCCATCATTTCAGAAACAGAAACAGAGACTAGCAGAAGGAAACACAGGGAGAGAACCCAACATGATAGTGCCGCCCAGCAGACATCTTCACTTGGCGTGGTCACGATCTTAACCATCATCATCCTCCGCTTCTTGAGTGATATGGAGCTTCTTCTTGTTTGCCTGCGTCGGCTTGGCTAGCAACTGAAGAAATATACTGAATTACATTGAACCGTAGTTAGTTACTCCGTAACTGATTTAAAAACACCATTAGATAACTTGGATCCTTACTGCCGATGCCGAGTGCCAGGACGCACGCAGCACCAGGCTGGTTCTTGGTGGACATGGCAGTGGCAACAGACTTGCGGACCTTTCGGGCCAAGCGTTACTTGTCATGGGATCGGGCCTATGGTAGGCCTGTTTGGGAGATTGATCGACGCCCGACTCCAACATGTTCCCCGTGACCCCGTCCAGTCCAGTCCACCGCCGCTGAGGCTGAACGGGCGGCAGACGCCTGAGCCTGACGCAACTCAGCACAGCAGCGACAGCGACGCTCGGGCCCGGCTACGGAGTACTCATGCTCTAGTACTGTGCGATGTGCTGCTTGAGATGACCCTGACCTGGCAGGGTGACGCATCGTGCAGGCTGGCTCGCTTGCTGGCACGACAGTCCAAAGGTGCTCTAGATTCTATGCCTCTTGGCTTGTCTTTTGGCTCCACTTGCGCACATTTTCACCAAAAATCGAACACCGAACCAAATCGAACTGTCGGTTTACAGTTTTGTGAACTTCGGTGTTTGGCTTCAGCTTGGATTCCTGTGTCAAACCGAACCGAACCACCGAGGAACTGGAGCATGGTTGCTTGCCCTCCATCTCTTATTAACTGTCATTTTCACTTTTCAAAAAATAACTTTGAGTAAATTTATATTAAAAATTATTAATATTTATGGTACATAACTAATATGATTAGATAAATCATTGAATCTATTTTTATAATAAATTTATTTGAAGTACAAATATTGTTAATATTTTTCATAAATATAGTCAAACTTACTAACACGCAAACCAACAACAACAAATATTTAAGGATAGAGGGAGTACTCCAGATCAGATGTGCAGCAGTTGGTTAAACTCAGGGCAGGGCTTAACGTTTGTTTCCGAGATCACGATTCGACAAACTAACTAGGTGATTTGAGAAGACAAGACTAAACCCCCCCCTAATCATTGTGGCCTTGCATTGCATTGCAACCAAAGAGTAAAAAAGTGCCGTCGACCTTTCTTGAGCTGATAAGCTGCCTATTATTATTATATTATAGTGCTAAAATTTGGTGACCTTTGCATCCGGTCCTTGTTTGGTGCACCGACTGGTTTTGTCACAGGTATGCGAGACAGTGAGACAAACATATAGAACCGTAAAAGTTCATATTGCAAGCTCAAATGCAGTAAACAGAAACATGCACACTTTAAAGAAGAAGAAACATTTGCATATGCTGCCCGATTCCTAGGAGTAAGACAATCTAATATGGCGCTAGTATCACAGATATGGGCAGGATCTGCCAAATTGGACCAGTGACTTGCCAAGGGAACCAGGCTTGCCCCTTGCGAGAGAGACATGTAAATGTAATTGCTCTGACTGATCTTCTGTGCTCGAGGCCAACACGAACAGTGAAGCTAGGCGGTAGTATCTTGCACGGTACGTATATACAGTGCAGTGCTAGTCATTTATACATCTTGCTTGCTACATGAACTGTACGTATAATTTACACGCAAACACAGTGTCCAGTCATCTAAAATCATACTTTGATTTGATCCCGACATGAAGCACGGCACTGACGCACTGTGGACCATACGGTCGTTACACGAGGTGACAAATTAACGCAGCGTCACATATACTCTATCCGGCACGCTTTACATCCGGAAGGTCCGCACAACGCACCACAGGATAACCACTGCTGATGCAGAAAGAAGATGGAGCGAGTGCACAAGAACTCGAGCTTTTCATCCTATCTATCTGACGCGCTGTAGTCCAGGCGCGGTTTTCCCTCTTGTAAATTTGCGGTAGGACATTCATGTTCAGTGTTAGTATTTGTTTAACCTTCAGTGTTGATATTTTTGATAACTGGTACTTTTTAGATAATAACTATTAAAGGCTATGGTATAATAGTCAGGACATAGCAGTCACTAACTTCTCTCATCCATTCCTAGAAAATATATTGTTTTAACAGTCATAGTATCTATCCATTCCTAAAGAGTACTCCCTCTAGTTCTCTAAATATATTGTTTTAAACTTTAACTCATAGTATCTTGGAACCATCTCAAAATTAGTTTCTAAAATATATTGACTATATTTTATAAATATTATCTTTTAGCAAAGACAAGATTGAGTAGTAATCCATTAGGAATTACCAACATTGCAGAAAGTCCTACAGTCCTGCAAATTTACCCTTTTTCCTTCGCGCTGAAGGAATACACTCTAAACAGTTTGGATCATGCGCAGACAACAGGGAAGGGCAGTTCTGAAACTAGGGATTGCAACGAGATGTGGTATTTTCAATGAATTGACAGAAGATACAACAGCCTATAAACATCAAAGAAGAGAGTTACAGGGTGATCTACCTACACTCCTCTGGGCTGCCGCAGGAACTTCATCTGTGATGCATAGCTAGCTCACGGCACTTTCATCTTTTTCATCTAGTGTTGCGAGAGGCCATGTCAGACCATTGTTAAGGGTTAGAGTCAGCTGGACAGAAGCAAAGATGGTGATGCTTCATTTGATGAATGAGAAGTCAGATTCATTGCAGTTTGAACATTAAACAGCTGAATCCGTCGTTCCTACTACTAATCTGGAGACTGCTTGGTATAGCTGCTCCTCGTCAAAGGGTTTAGATACATATCCATCCATTCCCGATTTTATACACTCTTCATAAGTTGCCTGGATAACATCGGCTGTCATTGCCAGAACAGGCAAATGGTACTCAACAAACGTCGAGCCTTCACTCAAAGCGCTTTCCTCATTAGCTTTCATCTCCATTTGCCTTATTTGTTTGGTTGCCTCAAACCTACAAAAAGTAATAATTGAGAAGTGATGATCAGTCGGAAGATTTTTACTTCAACTAGCAAACAAAGCTCAAACAGCAGGATGGAACTGGCAAATGAGTTTATTTATTTAATTCATACCCATCCATCTCTGGCATCTGAACATCCATAAAACATGCATCAAAGGAATGTGGGGGTTGAAGTAGACTGATAGCATCCTTGCCACTTTCAACACAGCTAACATTAGCACCGTACTTCTTGAGTGCAGCTGCAGCAACTCTGAGATTGACTTTATTATCATCTACGACCAATATGTTCTTCCCAACCAGCAAGCTACGAAGAAATGACGGCCGATTTTGATTTTCTTTTCTTTCAGGCATCTCTACTTTGAGCAGTTGTTGAATAGATGAAGCAATTGTGCTTGCCCTTATAGGCTTACACATCACAATATCAAATATAGATCCATAATTGTCCTTGTCAGCTTCAGAGGTGACCAAAAGAACTACCTTAGGCGCATCAGACAACAGACCATTCTTGTGCTCGCGTAGATGGTTCAATAACTGAACATCTGTTTCAGGCCTCCAGAAGTCACTCTCAATAAAAAGCATGGTTGCCTTTTCCCTACAAGAAAATAAATATGATGATTTCAAAGGTCATACAAACAAGTATGAAGTGCAGATTATGGCGCTTTAAGAATGTTTTATGCTATTCTCGAAAACAATTTGCGAATAACAGCCCAAGCCAGGGATTTTAGGGTCCTATATACTTTTTCAATATCAAGCAAATTCAGGACGGGTTGATTACATAGACGGTATATCTATGATGTCTACTAAAATATCATAGAGTTGCCTGCCTTTCCCACCAGCTTAGGGGTTTTGTTGAGACCGTCAATGCATGCAGCTCTACATGGTAGCAAGGCGAGGTCTTGAGTTCAAATCTTTAGTCACACAATTTAATAAGAGAAATGTGCCCTACTCCCATTCCACATCTAAGGCTTGAGGTTGAGGGAGCCTCCACGTATCTCCAGCATTTAAAAAAATAACTTAAGAACACTCACCTAGAAACGGTCGCTCCATTTTTTCCAGGGAAAGCTTTTACTACTGCACTCATATTGTTCACAACTTGAACAATTATTCCCAACCTCTTGAGGTGATATCTTGTAACAGCACTACGTACAGGTCTCCCATCTATCAAGATGGCCTTCATTCCCTTAAAAGCAGTTGGTAGTGCCTCTGACAAGCTCCTACTTGAATCAACTGAAATATCTTTGTATGAGCGCTTCAGTGTGGCTGAGAATGTGAATGTGCTTCCAACAAAAGGACGGCTGGTGAAGCTTATCTGCCCACCCATAAGTTCAGCTAGACACTTGCTGATGCTTAAACCAATGCCAGTACCACCATAATTCCTTGAAGTTGAACTATCAGCCTGCATAAAAGGTGTAAACACACGATCCTGTGCTTGCAATGGTATCCCAACACCTGTGTCCTCAATACTTATCGCTAGTGTGACATGGTCTGAATCACTTTGATTAGAATTTTCGCCCTCAAGATCATCCAAAAGCGACTCCTTATTAGAGAGGAGCAGCTTAAAATATTGCCAACTATTCCGTCTGTCTGCCGCTTCAAACCCACTCAAAGTATTGAAGGCGCCATTAGTTGTTGATTCAACTTTACCATCTTTCCCATTCATGGCTCCATGTATGACCTGATTGGCTTCCATATTTGAGTTCTCAGCCAAACAGACCCGCACAAATACATGACCTCGTTCTGTGAACTGGAACAGACAATAGATATATCAGTGCATTTTCTGAATGTATTTGATGACAGACTTATGTAAGAATTTAACCAACATCATTCGAAGTTGTAGCGTGAGGATGCCAAAATTGGCTGCTTACTTTGACTGCATTGCCAACCAAATTTGTCAGTATCTGTCGAAACCTCCAAGGATCTCCAAGAACAACCTTCGGAACATCATCGCATACAAATACTGCAAGCTGCAGCATGAAGGAAAAAGATCAGGAAAAGTATCTGCCACAAAGAAGTACAGGGACAGGTTCAGGCAGAATTGCATTATTTGTCAATTGTTCAGCCAAAAACTAGGACTAAAAGCAATCGATATCCATTCAAAGTGATGGCACAGGCAACATCATTTCCTACTTTAAGCATTAACAGTAAGATACCTCAATGCACTTCTCCCGTGACTTTGAAGAAAACAAGGAAATAACATCATCCATGAGAGAACGCAGGTCAAAAGGCACCGCTTCAAGCTCTAACTTTCCAGCTTCAATCTTTGCTCGATCAAGGACATCATTTATCAGTGTTATCAATGCTCTGCCACACATTTGAGCAGTTTGAGCATAATCTTTCTGTGTCATAGTTAGATCTGTTCCTAAAAGCATATCCAGCATTCCTACACCAGAAGGAAGAAATTTTAGATTGCCAGGCCATGAAACTTAAGATTAAGTAGGATCAAAATAAATGCATAAGTACCAAGGACACCATTCATAGGTGTTCTGATCTCATGTGACACAGTTGCCAGGAACTGCAAGAGAGACAAACATAGATAAGCCATACATGATGCATAAGCTAGAATGCCTAGGAAAAGAGAGTGATGAAGTACAGGTCAAACCTGAGACTTTGCAACATCAGCAGCTTCTGCCTGAGTTTTCAGCTCTTCCATCTTTCTACAATCTTCTGTAACTTTGTCATATCTAGAATATGCAGCGGCAATGCTATACCCCAGAAGCATCCATATGACAAATAAGCCCAAAGGATTGGTTATAACAGACCAAGGTATAGGAGGCTTTTGTCTATACCTGCAGGTTGACAACATTAGTGGAAAATAAAAGCTGCCAACAAAGTTAAGATTTACCGATAAGGACTACCAACCTGCACCTCATTTCATGCCTCCTAAATGGATCTCCAAAATCCAACATGCTAACATGAGGCACTTGTTCATCCAAAATTGAAGGTCCATACAAAGCCATAGGCTCTGAAGCATTTGTGACATCATAGACATTCACCACAATATCCTGATTGCCAGCAAGTTTGCTCAGCAAATTCTCCACAAGTGACTCCACATCAAATCCTCCACCAAGATATCTGTTAGTAGGGAACTTGATTAGATTTGACCACACTAGTCAACGGATGCATAATTATGTACAAAACACAGCAAATTATTCTCTTTAAAATTAGATAAGCATAGTGTATAATTTTGATTAAATTGAGGCAAGTTGCAAAGATTATGTAACCTGCATAATCTTATATATCACTAAATGTGTCTGTCATCAACACACTATCCTTTTGTTAAAAAGAAACACGTTGTTCCTAATATCACCTGTTACTAGACATGTCAAGATCATCGTAGTCAACAAAAATTTAGTGTTCATCAGTGAACCACAAATGTGGTATGTTACACAATTACAAGATATTACATGGTCAAATAATCCTGCGCGTAATTTTATTCATACCCACATTTTACTGAAGAATGGATGTCACACACAAGTCTAAAAGGCGATAATACTGGAAATATTTGGTTCAAAAAATAAAAATAAAAACGAAGGACATGAGTTAGAACATCTCACCCAATAGTTGCTTCCACACGTTGCTCAACTGATGCATCAGCAGGGAGATCAGGGCGGTACACAGCAAAAGTGAGAACTACTCCCAAGTGGTTTGATCCAAGCAAACGAAATGGGTTTGTTAACACAGCTTTGCCAGTAGTCCTGGCCCGCAAAATGTTTTCTTGGTCCTCCTATATTGGAAATAATAAATAGATTGCTTTCACTAAAGAGACATCGAAGGGTCATAAACACACCAATGAATATACAAAGAACAATCAAATAGAAGTAACCGTACCTCCCCAGACATCATGTCAATGCGTGCAAGGTAGGAAACTGTATCCTGAGAGAAAATCACTGGGGCGTATTCATCCCGGGGAGGTGCAGGCTCCCGCTGCATCGTATTCATAATCCATCCCTGTTGGCTTTCAAACATTTCCCTCTCATGATGGAAGACACGCTGTGCGTATGCCACCCCATTCAGCAGGGGTCGCTCAAATGATGTCCTTGCCGTGTATTTTGCAAAAGTGTCCTGTAGTAGACATTGTTTATTAAGCCAAAATAAAAACACTGAGCAGCAATATGCTATAAATTGCAAGAATCAGCATAAGACATTTTGTTGATTTACCAAAGTAATTAATCAGATTGGTCATTATATCAATACTTTTGTATGGAAAAAATGAGCATGTCTTCAAATACCATGGGCCCATAGCACTGTGCGCCTAAACTATTGGTAAATCAACAAAAAGGGAAAGAGAAACGAACTGTAAATGCAGGAAAGGACGCCTTTGAGGATCAATAATCTAAGCAAAAGAAAAGAGAAAGGCAGAGAGCAGCTTGTAACATAATTAATCTCTGCGACAGTGACCTTTCTCAGAATAAACTAAGGAATCAAAAGGTTGTCAAAAGAGCACCCCCAATGGTTGTCAAAGTAACCCCCCAGATGGTTTTGCAACGAACACACTAACCACTCTATGAACAAACAATGTGCCACCAACCCAATAGTTCAGTTCAGCGACATCTCTAATCAGCCTAAAAAAATCTCCGCCTAACCGCCGCAGGAATGGACATTTTTCTTTCCACAAGACGATGAACAGCACCTGTCCCAGCCAACCACAGCAATCATGGCGTGCTAAACGACTAGTGCCGCAACGACTGTAAGCGTCAACAAACCACAAACGCATCTCTCTCTCCTTTGTCCCCTTTTTCTTTTTGCTCCTTAAAGAAAAAGAGAGAGACAACCCGGAGAACAACGTGTAGGATCTCGGGGGTCCGCCATTGCCAAACCAACTGTCAATTGATGCCGCGGCATTGCAATCTACAAGAGCAATGGCGGAGAAGAGGGGTCGAATGGTTACGCACCGCGTCGATGGCTGGAGGGGACTTCTCGTAGTTGAAGGTGGCGATGAGAATGGCGATCGCGTGGACGTGGTTGACGGTGACCCCGAACTGCTCCTGCAGCATCCTGGCCCTCTCCTCGCACATGCTGACGAGGCGCTCCTCGGCGCGGTCCATGCTCTGCCGGCGCTGGGTCCAGTGCATCACCGCGGCGCCGACCACCGCGATTAGCACCCACGCGGCGGCTGCCAGCCCCCTCCACCTCCTCTTCGTCCTCGCCCCGGAGTACTTGCCCCCCATCCCTGCCTCTGCCTCGGCCACTGCCTCTTCACCCCCAAATCTACAGCCGCTCCTCCTCTTCCTCCTCCTTCCCCCGTCCAATGCCCACCACCATATGCTCGCCGCCCACCCAGAACTTGAAGGGCTCCGGGACCCCTATCACTAGCAGCAGCAGCAGCAGCAGCAGCAGCCCAGCACTAGCAGCAGCAAGCGGCGCGGGAGTGGGAGACTAGAGAAGGAAGCCTGGAGCCCTGGAGAGGGAAGAGCGGGCGGGCGGGCGGGCTGGGCGAGGCGTGGTGCGGGAGCTTCTCAAAAGAGGCGAAGCTTTCGCGAGTCCCCAGCGGCGATAGCTGCCTTAAAATAATTACGCCTACGACTAGCTGCTTGCGGGCATTAACTAATCCGACCACGGTACCCGAGCACTCCGCCCAGCTTTCCCTTTATTGCCTCCACTCCGCGGCTGCAGCACGTTGATCCACTTCCACCACACCGCCAGCGGCCCAGCAGCAGGGGGCGAGGCCGCCCGGCGGGGAGGAATCGGCGCTTTTTGGCAGCAGATATTCGAGACAGGCGGGCGTGGCGCGCCCGCAATTAAAACGCGCCTCCCGTAACAGTGGAGTGGTACCCGCGAATCGAGGCTAATCACCGGCTAGTAGGGGCCTAGGCTAAACAAGCGCGGGCTTAATAGCGGCGGCGGTGGGCGGCGAGCGTGGCCCGTGGCCGTGGGGGGGAAGACCGTGAGAGGAGAGGGGGGACGGAGACGGACGGAGGAAGCGAGGGCGTTTAAAGCCATGTGCGCGCCGCGCGGTGAATTGCCGCATCTGCCCCCGCACGATGGCTGTTTGTTGTTTCTCTGTTGCCGTGGACCGCCAGACCGGCAGCAAGCAGGTGCGGAACTGGACGCGTCAGAGGGGTACTCAGGGGAATAGAGACGGTGCCACGTACGGAGTACGAGTAGGGCGGCATCTGGACTCTGGAGCGGCGCTCTGCTCCGTCCTCCGTGGACCCGGCGCATGGGCCCTCGTGTGCGCGCCCCGCGGTGCCAGCTCAGAGTCCATATCAGCCGTCGAAGAGAAACCTCGGTCAAACCCGTCTCTCTTCCCAGACCCGGCCCACCAGCACTACGGGTACGAGAACGACAGTAGACTGTAGCAGCCAGCCATCGTCATCTATGAGCAGAATCCAGGATGACAGTCTGATGGCATCCGACACAGAGATTCTGTGGTGTACAGTAATGAACTAATTAAGGATGATAAAAAACCTGTTTGCTTGAACTTATTAGTTATGGTACAATGTTTTTCTCTCGCAATAAATCAATAAACAATATTTTTCAGCCGGATTTTTTAACAAAGCGAACAGGTAGCTCTAAATGAACTACTAGGAGTAATTAGTTCAATTCCGACGTGGAGAAATCCTCACATGAATGGCCCAGGTACAGACTGAGCCTCCCAACTAAAAAAAAAAACTAGGATATCCTTATGAAATCACGCGGCAGCAAAAGCAACACGCTCCGGTTACCGGCGCCGACGGATTGGAGCAAACGGAGCGTTAGCAATTGCATACTCCCTCCGTCAAAAAAACGCAAGCGGAGGGAGTAGCCCAGTACTCCCCGAAACGGACACGAAAACGATTCTGGATTTCACGCAGCCAGCTGGTACGTACTAGTCGGTACTGCTCCGTGCTCCAAGTGCAAACAAGCCAACAATGACTGGTTGCTACCCCCGGCAGAGACGCAGAGTTCTGTCCTCTGGCCTCTGTCTGGAGGCTGGAGGCCAAGTATACGCAATAACTGTTGCTGCTACCCCTAACCCTGACCACGCGCTTCATCATTGCATACTGGTACTAGCACTGTGCTTCAGTAATCGGAACGTACGCGACGTCCCAAATGGAACAGATCCTGCTCCTCCTACAGCAGTCAACCGTGTGTGCTGCATGCTTTCAACACACTGGATGACGCGAGCGTTTCACATTCATATGCTCGCTCCATTAAAAAAAAAATGCAATTCTCATTTTTCGAGAAATCAAATCGTTTAAACATTAACTAAATTTCTATAAAAAAATTACCAACATTCATAATATAAAATAAGTATCATTAGATTAGTTATAAAAATATATTTTCAAAATAAATTTATTTAGAGACATAAATACTAATACTCTTTACTGTAAACTTGGTCAAACTTGTGTCTCAGTTTGACCACACGAACCCCATAATTGTATTCTTTCCTGGACGGATGGAGTAAGTCCACGGGCATAATTATATTCTTTATTTGCTACTCATCGCCAAGAACGGCGACTTCCCATGGAGTAAATCCACGGACATGAACTTATCCCTTGCTTTATTTGTACTCATCACAGTTTAGTTGGAAATCAACGGCGAATCTTTTGAGCTTAGTTGGTCCACAGTGGAGACGACGCTTCATCAAAGTAATGTAAGCTACTAAGCTACTCCCATATTAGCTGGACTTCTCATCCCGTCGAAAGTGAAATGATTTTTTTTTCAAAAGATCCGTTACTGTGAAATGATTTTTTTTTTTAAAAACTTCAATTTAGATGCAATCTCCGCTCACTTCAACTTGATGGCCTCCTCCCGGTAAGGAAAAACATCCCCACTAATGGACAATCGAGCACCGTGGAGCTACGCAACTCTAACCCTCGCTCAAGGGCAGGCCTAAAGTACCTTCCTCCTGCAGTCGAGCAGGGTATACACTCTGTTAAGCTTCAGTTACAAATCGTAAATCGTTCTGTTTTTCTAAATAGATATCACTTTTTTTGAAAAAATAGAACATCTGCCTAATAATTTAAGATAGAGAAACAAATTTGTAAATCATGTTGGACGGCAACAAACAAAAAGCGCCCCCTCCTCCTCCCCCAAGCCCACAAGAAAAAACCATAAAGCTAACAGGTGAAACGCCTCGCGCACACACACATACCAGTCCTACCTCGGGTAAGAACCTTTAGAGAGTAAACCGGCCTGCGGGCCTGCCGGCTCAGGCTCCCCACCATTGAGCCTCAAGCTCGTCGACCCCTGATCCCGCCCATCGCGTGCCGCCACAGAGCTCTTCCCTCGTCGGCCCCCGATCCCTCCCGATGCGCGCGCCCCTCCCCGCGCCGCTGCGTCTACTCGCATGCCGCTGCATGATCTCACCGACCGTGCGCGCCTCTTCCCGCACTGCCGCAACTCTCGCTGCGATCTCGCCAGGCGTCATCATGCTAGAAACCGACGCCGAGCAGCAGCTCCCCGTCTCCAGCGCGAGCGCGAGGCTGAGCAGGCTGCTGCTGCCGAGCGCCTTTTCATCGAGCGCGAGGCTACGCGCCAGAAGGCAGCTGCGGATTGCACCACCGCCCTCCACGCCTGGAACAAAGGAGGATGCAAATAAGTGGCTAGCGTGTTTGGTCTGTGGATTGACTTTGTCCAGCCATGTTCGGCTGGTATTAATGTCGATTGAAGCTGTTTTGTTATGAGAGAAAAATACTATAGATTCTAACTAATTAGCCGGCTGATAAGTTCAAACGAACAGACCCTACGTTCACTCCCCATGGGCTCGCCTGTGTTTTTCTATGCAATGATTTAATTCCTGGGATTGACTTGGGAAAGTTACTAAATAGAATCGTTTGGTGACGGACGCCACGGACTGACAACGCAAAACCAAACCAACATCTCAGGTTTAGCCTCAAGATCGGATCATTCCGGACCGAATGATCTGCTAAACCAAACAGGGTCCGCCCGCGAGCGCGAGTGACGGATAGGACTATAGGGCAAACGCAACTGCGGCTAGTGGTGTCAATAACTTTTTATGTATTCTATTTGACCTGACCACTCTAAATAAATATTAAACAATGATAGATTTATCTTCTCAATCAAGTACAAATTAAAACCATCTCATCTTTAAAAAGCTTCTTGGTACGGCTACTGCTACGACTTTGTTTCTTGGTACGGCTACGGCTATGCCATGTTCATTTCACTTATAAGTTGTATTTTTTTAGTTAACCAACAGTATTTTTTCTCTCTGTACGTCTCAATTCGACGACCTGGTACTTACCCGTACGCTGGGTTGCGTAGCAGGATAGTCTGTGGGAGGTCGGAAGAGAGATGGAGCATTCATGGCTGATGGTAAAATGTTAAACAAATCGGGTGACATGAAAACTCCCACACAGGTTCTCTTCTCCCTCTTGATCACTCTGAGTCTGAGGCCTGACACACTGCCGCCCCTGCCGCGATGCCTTCCAGTTTTAAAATTTCCTAACGCCGAGCAAAGTGTTACTACTACACTGTTTAACTACATGTACTATACTCCAAACTACTCCAAGAATCTCCATCTTTTTCCATACAGCCTTATAAGCCTTTGTCGAGCAGATGCTAGCTCGCTCCTTTTCTTTGTTTCTTTCTTTCTTTTCGGTAACCTCCATTTGATTTCAGTTTCTCCCATGGCACGGCACCCGCGCGCGACCTGCTTTTGCATCTTGGACGCGAGCAGTGTGACCTGATAAAGATGCGCAGGCGCAGGGAGCCAAGGAGCGAGGGGGTCATGATTAAAAAAGGCCCAGGACCCTGCGCATGCACCTGTGACCTGTCGATGCGCGATGGCCAGAGCCAGAGGGAGACGAGCCCTCTTTTGCGCACCAGTGCAGCCTGCAAAAGCTCGCTCCGGTTCAGGCTACGATGTCCTCGCTCGGCCCTAGCCCAAGCAGAAGCCAGCGGCGAGGCCCAGCCGAGCAGCCACTGCTCACTTTGGTATGAGTTGGATGCTCTGCTGCCAGAGCTCAGGCCATCCAGAAGGCTTCCATGTGATGCCAGCCATGCCAGTCGTAGTCCTCCTACATCAAATACAAGTAGGAGTAGCATTTGCCAGAAGCTTGCACTACGGCTACTTTTACTGCCGTGCCATAAACACTCACTTTATGGGCACTGACCTGAAGCTGAGGAAGGAAGCGAGGACGACGTGGGGGGCTGTGACCGTGAGGGACGAGTGGCATCCCCGTCCCGAAACGGCCAAACCCACACACACACGCTCTGTACTTGCCTAGGTAAGATTTCCCCACGCAGCGCACACCGTGTAGATACGGATACAGTGGTACCACTGGCCGTCTGGCGGAGCGCGAGTAGTTGGGGGTGCAGCGTTATGTCGCCCTCGTCTACAGCATTTCTGTATCACTGAGACACTGACGCTCTCGGAAATACACGTAACGACGTAGGACTACGGCCGCCCGACCATTTATCACAAGCGGACACACACCGGCCTGTGCGCAAGTATGCACATAGTACTACTACGTGGCGAGTGGCGTCGTCGCAGCGCCGCCTCGGGGCTCGCCGTGGTCCAGTGTCCGTGTCCGCGTTCGTAGCAGCCCGTCGCTGGTATTGCGATACGTACGTGAGATTACCCGGTCGGGCGGTGGCGGGTCACAAGCCGCTTGCTGCCCCATCGACGGACACGGGCATTGACACCGCTCTGGTGGCGCAGTGGCATGCTCCGAATGCAATTCTCACGTGTCGACAAACATTTTAACTTTAACTAAAATTATATAAAAATATACTAATATTCATGAGATAAAATAAATATCATTAGATTAGTTATAAAATATATTTTTATAATAAATTTATTTCGAAAAATAAAATACTAATACTATTTACTATAAATATGACCCTTATTAAAGTTGGACAAGTTTGACTCGTACTTTTCGCATAATTGCACGGAGGGAGTACTCTACGACCCAGACGGACGACAGAGCAGAAGAGCGCAGAGGCGCCTGCGCTGCGCGGTTCAGGCGTCGTATCGCTTCGATGCAGCAGCGGTGCAGCCTTTGCCATTGCCATTGCCAAGTGCCAACCGAGGAGGCAATGTGCCTGGGCCAGGCAGGCAGCATCCTCAGGCGTTGGATTTGGAGAGCCTGGGGTGGATGCGAGGGCCCCAGACCAGCAGCATACAGGAACCAAACAGGCCCTTTATGCGGGGCGGGGACCTCACGTGGGCTGCTCAGTTAGGGCAGGCCCGTAAGGTTTTCAACTTTTCCTTGGGCCTTGGCCGATGAGCTATATTGATTACAAGGGGGGTCCGGAGGCCACCACCATCTTGTGCAAACCAGGCCCAGATTGTTCTTCAGTCTCTCTTTCTCAGGAGTTGGGTGACGGGCTGGGCTATATAATCTGTTAGGACGTTCTTCTCAATGATCCCAAGTCCTAATGCTGCAGCCTAGCTCCTGTATTATATTTTCCTTTTTTAGCTTCGTTTTTTTTCGAGACAATTGGTATGACGTCCGGTAGCAAAGTTACACGCAACTTATCGTCTCATGTAGGTATATCAGGTAGTGGATCGAATTCTGCAGCAACCTGTGGTGTCAAGATAGATACGAATGGTACAACGTAGATCATAGGAACATTTCAAGGTATATATGTCCAATCCAATCAGCAATTTCGTGGGATGAGTTTTCTTCTTCGTCGTCCCATCCCATCCCTTGTACATATATATGGCAGACAAGGAACCAATCCCACCGTGCTTGTTCTCTGGGAATCCTTCAGAACAGAGTAGTGCTAGCTTGTGGTGTAGATTTGTTCAGACCAACGGAACAGGCATAAGCCAGGAACAGATAGATGATCGATGTTGTTCCGTCCTTGACCCAACGTCAACATGTGCAGTAACCAGTAGCATTACGGCGGACGAAAACGTAGCTAAACTATGTGTGTACAGCACTAGGTGTAGCACAACTCAACTTGAGGAGTGTAATTAAAAAGACGTGGACTGTTCAACCTTAAGATATGCATGCTCCTGTATAGTCTTATTAACCCTTCGGTTTGCTTGGCAGCTCTACCCATCTAATATATGCCTGATCAAACTCTCAAATAGTTTCACTAAACTCTTCACTACATGTATAGTATCTAGCATTTCAAATTGAGTTCAAAATACTTATACCAGTTGCGCTGAATAAAGCTACCTAGCGTTCGGCCGAGCTGGAAATGGAAGCAGTACTGTCACTGGACCGACCGACCGACGCATTGGATCCGGCGACTTAGCCGTCAAAGTCGCCAGTCGTCTCGTCGGCACGCACACCAGCCGTAGATCAGAACGGCTAGACTTTTAGGGTAGCAATTTATATGCTATCACCGATTCACCGTACCCACGCCAGTGTGTCCGACTTGGATGTGCACGTCGATGAGAAGCCAAATATGAACTAGGTAAGCTGAAAGCGTTCAACGAACTTCCAGATCACGCCATGGTAGGTCATCGATCCATACGAGGGTTTTAAGCGTCAAACCGAAACAGCATTTTTTCTCCTTTAACCTTAATTACCCACTAGCTATACATTGTCTACCCGAAGGAGCTAAAACTTTGTGTCTGGTTCACCAGTTTTCCAAAAAATTCCACCTTTAGATTTAGTGTCAGTAGATCAGAACTCCGACAACCTACGCCTTTGTTTCATTTCATCGTCTGTGATTTTTGAGTGATGTCAATGTTGCTGAGGATTTGAATGTGACACCGATGCTAACCATGCAGTAGTGGAGGAATTAGTGGAGAGAAGTCAAGAGTATGTTTCAATTATTTCAGATGCTTCATAGGTATGTTGCAAGTGTTTTATATGGATGTTGCACATGTTGCAATGGTTGTATACGCATGTTGCAAGCGTTCGTTCGAAATGTTTTATCTTTTTTTAGACGTATGTTGCAAGTGTGCTTATTTGGATGTTGCATATGTTTTACATATATGTTGCGAATATGTTCAAAATATTTCAGCTGTTTCAGTCTTATGTTGCAATAAGTGTTTTCATGTTGCAAGTTACAAATGTTTTGTCTGGATGTTGCATACGTATGTTTCACACACATGTTACAAGTGTATGTTCTAAATGTTTCATTCATACTCATGTTACATTCAAGTGTTTCATATTGCAAGTGTTTCATGTTTTAGCGGTATGTTCAGAGAGTCATGGGGGCAACGCGCCTGGGTCCTGTGGACGGGGAGTGCTCATCCTCATCCCGTCTCCCGGGTCCCACCTACACGGGAAGAGAGGAGGTGGTCAGGGCGAAGGAGCGGCGGGAGCGGGGTGGGGCAAGACGAACGGGGGCAGGGTACGTGTGCGTGGCGGGATGAGGTGGACGGGGAAGGACTGCAGCTTCTGCTAGGCCATTATGTACCGTCCGATAGAATCCTATCCCATCGGATGTTCGGGCGCCAGCAATTCCATAAAATTTTATCAAAAACTCGACACAAAGCCTGGTGTAAATAGCGAACTAAACTCTAAACTAAATGTCTTATAATATGACATCTTGTTTGTTCAATTTATATTGATTTGATACAATGAATTTGCTTTTGTTCTTCAAATACAATATTTTTGTAAAATGGACAGATTCCTCATGGAACAAGGATAGGACGAACTCCCCACACCTCAAAACATACACACGCACACCAATATGTGAAACTTGTTCTTGGAATCACGAAATCCTCAAATCAAATACAACTCACAAGGCCAATCACTAGCCACAAGTATTCGAAGCATGCTACATATCTCAACATCCATTCGTGGAACTCCGAAGTGGGATGATGACTGAAAGTCTGAAATGGCACTACTCCCAAAACAAACAAGAGCAGAGAAATTTAGAAACGCAACCCGAAAACACAAATAAAGTACTGTATACGACAGAGGCGTTTATCCATCTCAGGACAAAAAAATTGAGAGCAACCATTCGCCGTCTCCGCCCGTGGCGTGTACAATTCAAACTTCCATTCAACGGTCAACATTCAAACTCCGATCCCAACGAACGAAGGACAACCCCTCCCAGCCACCGTCCGCGCCCTTCAAAACTGCACAGGCCCACACCGCACGCCCACATGCAGCAGTAGAGTACTACGCTCCATTCCGTTTTCCATTCAACGCTGGCGAAAGCAAGGCCACAACCTATATATTCACAACGCCGACGCCCACCCAACCCCGCAGTCCAGGCAAGCACCACCACCCGTCAGCTCGCGGACTCCACGCACCGTTCGGCGACGACCGTACCTGCAGCCGCACAGCAAACCGAGGGACGTCTAACGTCTTCAATACTAGCGCGCGGGGATGGTCACGCCGGTGTCCCGCTACCGCCTTCGCCCGCGGTCGGTGCGTGTGGCGGTGTCAGAGATCCCGCTCGCCACGAGGCGGACGGCGAGGCAACCGCAGCCCGTGCCGGCGGCAGCGGCCGTGGCCGCGGAGCCGGCGATTCCGAGCAACTTCCTGTGCCCGATCTCGCTGGAGATGATGCGGGACCCCGTAACGGCACCGACGGGGATCACGTACGACCGTGACAGCGTGGAGGGGTGGCTGGAGCGTGGCCACTCCACGTGCCCCGTCACCGCCCGCCCGCTGCGCGCGGAGGACCTCATCCCGAACCACGCCACGCGGCGGATGATCCAGGAGTGGTGCGTCGCCAACCGCGCCCTCGGGGTGGAGCGCGTGCCCACGCCCCGCGTCCCGCTCTCCGCCGCCGACGCGGCCGAGCTCATGGCGGCGGTGTCCGCCGCCGCGCGGCGAGGCGACGCGCCGGCGTGCCGCCAGCTGGCGGCCAGAGCCAGGGCGCTAGGGAAGGAGAGCGACCGCAACCGCCGGTGCCTCGCGGCGGCGGGAGCCGCCCGCGCTCTCTCTTCAGCGTTCTCACAGCTCGTTGACCAGCCGGCGCTGGCGTCGTCGTTGACCGCGTCCGGCGGCGCGCTGGATGAGATCTTGGCCGCGCTGGTCGTTTTCTTCCCGCTGGGCGAGGAGTGCAGGAGCCACATTGCCTCCCCGGCGTCGCTGAACGCCGTCGTCTCTATCCTGTGCCACGGCGAGACGACCGCGAAGGCCAGCGCCGCCGTCGTGCTCCGCGAGATCGCGTCGTCGTCCGACCCCGACTGCCTCGACGCCATGTCCGAGACCGACGGAATACACGACGCGCTCATCAAGCTCCTGCAGAGGCCCGTGTTGCCGCAGGCTACCAAGAACGCGCTGGTCACCGCCTACTACCTCGTCACGAACAGCGGCCTAGCAGCCAGCCGCCTGGTCGACCTCGGCATGGTGGAGCTCCTGGTCGAGTTGCTGGTCGACGCCGACAAGGGCACGACGGAGAAGGCGCTCGCGGTGCTGGACAGCCTCTTGCTCACGGAGGAAGGCCGCGGGAAGGCGTGCGCGCACGCATTGACCGTGCCGGTGCTGGTCAAGAAGATGCAGCACGTGTCCGACATGGCAACCGAGTTCGCCGTGTCGGCGCTGTGGCGGCTGTGCAAGAGCTTCTCCGGCGAGGGCCCGTGCAAGGCCGAGGCGCTGCAGCTGGGCGCGTTCCAGAAGCTCCTCCTCCTCCTGCAGGTCGGCTGCATGGGCGTGACCAAGGAGAGGGCCAGCGAGCTGCTCAGGCTCCTCAATGGATCGAGAGACGGCGTCGAATGCATTGATTCGGTGGATTTCAAGGGGCTCAAGAGACCCTTCTCATGAATTAAGCTGTGGATAGACTACTAGATTAGGTTAAGAAAGAATTAAGCTGTGGATACAAGATACACAGACACAGTTAGGTTAATTTATGATCTGTTCTGCTTTTTCTGTACATCTTTTTGCTCCCCCACTTGGGCCTTGGTCATGGGCTCATGGCCATTTTGCAGTGTAATGCTCTGAATGAAGTCTGCAAAATCAGATCATACAGCCAAAAGAATAAAGCATTGCATTAATTGCTGCAAGTTTCTGACGATTTGATTGCCGGTTTTGAATCTTCTTGGCGCTTCGGGTACGGAAGAGATGCCATGTCCATTACGCCGTCTGTCATGCCATGCCCCTGAAAATTCAAAGCTGAGAACACAATTTTTGACTTGATTGGAGGAGAGACCTTCATTTCATTATTGTAGTTATACACTACTATAGCAAGGCCCGCCCGACGGAACATCCAGAAGAAGGTGTGAAGTAGTTGAGTGTTCCGTTTCCATTTTGTGTTTGGAAGGAAACGGGTGTTACATTTGAAAACTGCAGACCAGCGTCAGAGGAGCAAACGGCAAAGGGCTTTAAAGAACAAGACAAATGGCAAGAGAACACGAGCAGCTAGCCCAACTATCTTATCTTCATTGCTTCCACCGAGCAAGTTGAGTGCTTTTCTTCAGACGACCTGAACGGAGTGGTCTTTGCATGGTGCAAGCCGTGATTCATGCATTCGCGTACGTCCAGGAAGAGAGCGCAAACACAAATTTGATATGGACATGGACCGGCTATACCCATATTTGAATAGACCTACGACGACTGTGTGCTCAAAGCTCGCCTGGTTTTGATTTTTGATCCTGGGAACAAACGTTATCCATGCGCACACAGCACACTATTCCCGTTGGTTCCACATGTTCTCACGCGCCGAAAAAAGAAATTCCCTTTTTGCTTTTGGAGCTTCCTCCTCTTTTTTTGCTCTAACGCGCTTTCATTTAGGCCGAACACACATTTCAGTTTTGCTCGTAAACAATCGTAAATTTCCAGCCGGGAACAGTGTTTTTCTCTCACACCAAACTAGCCAGCAGTAAATAATCCACGATACGATACGGTCTCCCGAACAGGCAATCATCTCCACTACCAGAAGCTCATGAGTACGTCAGAAAAAGTTCAGGAGACACGTACACAAAAAGGAATTAAGATCACATCATAGGCACCAGGCATAATGCATTAATATTCATAATTCACGTTTAACTAACAAGGTGGTCGGTTTGGGCAAATAGCACCGGTAGCTGTTAATTGTTACTATGACATTGACATTTTTCACCCCGTTAAATTTGGTAAGGTCCCGGCTTGTTTCAACTTATTCTCTCTCACAGAATACTATTTAATCATCCAAAACCATCCAAAATCTACTGTTGAACTCACCATCCGAACACCCTGTTTTCTTATTTGGAAATAATTTTTATAAATACTTTCAATTATTCCTTTGTTTGATTGTACTCTTATTTTTCTCTCCGTGCTCCCTTGTTGCATCCATCGACATGAACTCTATATAACTATTGTTGATTAACTCCTTAGCTTAAAGCTACTATCGTTTCTCTCATCTTCTTGTTTTCCCACACCTATCCTATAGCTCTACAATTTCTACTTATGTCAAATTAAGGTATAGCATCAAGGTAGCTTCAATAAACCAAGTGGCCAAGTATCTCGCAAATTTGTTCTAAATTTAAATTTTGGACCATCTTGTACATTCTATTGTGGATTTGCACATGCATCCCCTTGGAACATAACCCCCCCCCCCTCCATCCCAAAATAGTTGTCTAGATTCATAGCTAAAGTGTCATCTATTTTCCGGACATGTTTGTTGGAATCGCTAATGTCTCAAGTAGCAGCTAGTCAGGTTATCATGCCAACATCCATCGATGCCTCAAGGCGGCTTAGGGCCTGTTTGGCTCGTGCCACAACGCAGCTGCGTCATGCCACAACGTCGTTTGGTCCATGCCGTACTTCAGGCATGCTGAAGAAAACATGGTTTGATCTAAGTATATTTTGATGCCAAAACTTGCCAAATGTTTGGCGTTGATTTTCAGTGCCGCACTTTTGGCGAGCCGCAACGCAGTTGTGGCGTCCTAGATCTATATGAATATGATCAATGTGGTAGCCTTTAGCCCTAGAAAGTGAAAGATGTTTTTAAAACTTTACTTAGTAAGTAATACATTATTTGTTTTTAAATACATTTTTCGAACTTATGGAAATCAAACTATTATTTTTCTATAAATTTTAATTTTAGTTGTCATGAATTATTTATATAGGTATTTCTTCTTACAATTCATTAGAAATCAAACTATAAACATTTCAAAAAATTTATTTACTAATTTTGTTTAACTTAGACTATTTTTTAGGTATTTTCCTTCCAAGTCATTTAGAAACCAAATTCTTTTTTGTTTGTTCATGTATCATTTGAATTTTATACTATTTATTAATTTTATTAGGCAGTTTCCCTGAATCTTTGGTTTAACCTAAACTGTTAGGTTATCATAAAATCTATCAGTACAACATCTTCTCATTTTTCCCTATTAAGTTTTTTATATTAATTAATCAGGCTACTCATTGAACGTTGTGCCTTCTTTTGGAACTGCTGTTATACTAATAAGATACTCCGTCCGTTCCAAATTATAAAGTGTTCTAGCTTTTCATATATATTTTTTATGTATAATATTGGCATAATATATATCTAAGTGCACAACAAAAGTTGTGTACACAGAAAAGTTAAAATGTCTTATAATTTGAAATAGAGTGAGTAGTAAATAAGCTTTAGATGAAGGATAGACGATACATACACTTGAGTATATACTGTTTCCGACAGGAACTCGGCATATATACTGTTTCCGGTAGTGTGAGTACTTGACCCGCCAGACCCTGTCACTTTCACCTGAGCCCCTAATTTTCACCGTCAAAGTTTCATGCCGCGCGCACAAGTTATCGTAGAAAGATTCAGCAACAAAGACTGGCCAACTGTCCTGAATTTCTTTCCGGGAGTACAAGTGTATATTCATATCAAGTGTCGACTAGACTATCAGAGTCCGAGTCATCTATGTGACACCTAAACATTTTGTACTATCAATCAATCAATACATAGTAGTGTGACTACTTGCCCTGTTAATTCTTGGTCGTCATGGATCGATTAGAACAAAGAGAAAGGTTGAAGAAGGAAGCGAGCTAGCTAGAAATTAAACGCACGCACGCACGACCCGACCCTGGAGTCCAGTGGCGTAGCCAGGATTTGTAGCTATGGTGGTCCGTTGTCTAAATATTTTTTAACCACTATAAATTTAACATATCAAGACAAGTATATGAATTACAAAACATAATTAAGAAAAAAAGGACATACATAGTTTATAAAATAGATGAGTATAGTTTTGTTAACATAGAATTAAAATATTACATTACCATAAAAGTTCAATGAGACCGCATTCCAATAATATAATATATATATATTCTAATGGTCGTCACCGATCACCGGCTAGTGGCCACCAGCAATCAGCTTGTTCGTTTGACTATGGCTTGTCGTAAACGATCGTAAATTTCCAGCCGGAACAGTATTTTTCTCTCATACAAACCAGCCAGCAGTACTTTTTCACGAACCAGCAACGAAACTAACCAGTCAACCGAACAGGGCGAAAAGCGGATGCGTGATGCGTTAGCCACTGTCTCTAGCCCTAGGAGAGATTGGGAGAAAAAAATAGAAACATGACTAAACAAATAGCCTAATTAAATGAAGATTTTGAGACGTACTGTAGAGGACTCACTGACTCACGTGTGCTGCTGCCGTGCTGCTCGTCATCCGGCGCCTGCCGCCGGCCCGCCGCCGCCGCTATGCATATCCAGGAAGCACAACACAGCAGGGATAGGAGGGGGTGCAGGCCGGCCGTAGGGAGAAATACGAAAGCGTCGCACTCGCACTCGCACGCGTATTCGCGAAACGCAAAAGACCGCAGCCTGCGGACGCTCCAGAAGTATTGGCTGCTAAGAGTATCTCCAAGAGTTTGTTATCTTAACTTGCCATCCATATAATTTTGGTAAAGTAAGAAAAAATAGCCTCCAACAATTTGGCAAAATAACTTGGCATCAATAGCAACTTGACAAATCTTCCCTCCGCGCGCGTAAATATACGCGCGCGTATACGGCTTGGCATCCGGGGTTCTTCGTTTCTTAGCGGGGCTCTTCGTTTGCTTAGCGGGGCTCTTCGTTTGCTTAGCGGGCCTCTTCGTTTTGTTAACGGGTTTTTTTATTTTACCAAGTCAAAAATGCCAAACTCTTGGAGATGGATTGTTTTTTTACTTGGCATATAATTTTAGGAGTTGGCAAATAACAAGATTTGCCAAGTAAAATTTAACAAACTCTTGGAGATGCTCTATGGATCCGAATTTTCCAATATCTATGGGCCATGGATGGGCTGAGCGCATGGTGGTCCTTGGACCACCCGGACCACAGTGTAGCTCCGCCAGTGCTGGAGTCCCTGGACGACGGTCGACGGACGGATGAATCGTCACGCCACCGATGGACCGACTCAGTCGGCGGCCGTGTCATGTTCGCACCGTCGACCTGTCGCCTGGATTGTAATTACCGCCACAATCGATCTCGTCTCGGTCGTACGCAACTCGTAAGCACGTAGAAATCAGAGCACAGTAATTACACACATAACAACGGAGAAAAGTTCTGGCACTACACTTACGCCAACGGCGGTCGAGCACAGCAGCATCTAAACTAGTGAACTGACTGACGTGCGTGCCTGTCTGAGCTCATCGGACAGCTATCGAGGAGGACCGAGACGGTAGACCCGGTCTGCATGCATGCCCGTCGACCGTCGTCACGTCTCATACTATTCCACGGCAAACTGCCAAGCAGTAGATTTCACCGCAGGTCTGATACGCTTGTATGGTAACGCGTGGCATGGCCGCTCGCTCCAGCGTCCAGTGTCCAGTCCCTGCCGTTCAACCGGGTCATCGCATTACGTTTTCTGCGGGGTT